TTCGGAATTCAACAATAAGATCCAATGACTAAAAAAAGCTGGAGGAATGAAATTCATATCTGCTGTGTATATGGTGGGAGGTGGTTAAAGAAGGCTAAGGCTCGGGGGTCGAGTACTTGCCAAGCGTGTGTGAGGTCCTGGGTTCAATCCATCCCCACTGTGGGGTGGTGGGGAAGAGGAAGAGGAGGAGGAGGAGTAAGGAGCTGGAGCTCCACCTCTGAGGGTAAATACTCGCTGTGCAATCAAGAGGACTTGGGTTTGAGCCTCAGCGTCCATCCCTATGAAAATGTGGTGAGAAGAACTTGTGACACCAGTACTGGAGAGGGGATAGGCTAGGCGGATCCCTGGAACTTGACTGCTTGCCTAACCTAGCCTAACCTGTGAGCCTCAGATCCCGGTGAGATGCGTCTATCTATGGTCTCAGAAACCAAGGTTGACAGCTCCCGAGGAATGACTCCCAGGTCAGTTTCCACACAGTCATATCACACACACACACACACACACACACACACACACACACACTCATAATAATAACAATTACAGAAACCTGGACTACAGAAATGAACAGGGATGTGGTATCACAGAATCATCAAATGTATAGAGATAACACGTTAAAAGAGAAGTCATTTTTTTTGAGTGAAGCAAAATATGAGTCCAGTATTAATAGGGGCAGGAAGAGGGAGTGCGGGGCTCTCAGGAGCAGGGCAGTGGGAGCTAACTGCTCCAGGCTCTTCCACCCTTGTGCAGCCCCTGGCATATTCATCTACCAAAGCATGCGAAACATGGTATGCTTTTAAACTTCAGGATATTTTTTTTTTCTAAGATGCCAAGATCTATTTTAAAGGAGAGAGGGGGATTTAGTCCAGGAAGGAATGGTAGAGACTGATTCAAACCTGGATTAGGGTAGAAAATCAGACAGAGAGAGAGGGGGGGGGAGGGAGTGGGAGAGAGAGAGAGGGAGAGAGAGAGGGAGAGGGAAAGGGAAGGAGGGAGGAAGGGAGGGAGGGAGGGAGGGAGGGAGGGAGAGAGAGAGAGAGAGAGAGAGTGGGGGGGAGGGAAGGGGGGAGGGAGGGGGAGAGAGAGAGGGAAAGAGAGGGAGAGAGGGAGGGAGGGAGGGAGGGGGAGAGAGAGAGGGAAAGAGAGGGAGAGAGGGAGGGAGGGAGGGAGAGAGAGAGAGAGAGAACCTTTGATGTCTTGATGATCAAGAGCCCTGGCTTAAGGACCAGACTCTTAAATCATGTGGCATTTACTGGCCCAGATAAAAAAAACTCTCTTGTGGATCAGCGTGTGTACTAAGAATGGCGGGCTTCCAAAATCAGCCTTCACTTTTTTTAAGGGTAATGTTTGGAAGGCTTCATGTAAGAATGGACAGATGGAGTATTTCTAGAAGGAGCAGCTTAATGGTTTTCTACCCCTCCACCCCCAAATCACTAACTGGTGTTCCTTCCCCAGAGCCCAAGTTCACGCCGAGGGCAAAGGGAATTAAGCAAAGAGGCTGAACCTGCAGCTAAGATTAGAGAACTGCCAAGGGCCTAATTTTAGGTCCTTGCTGCCTCAGCTGCCTGTGCTGCTGGCTTGGCCATGGGGACCACAAACGCGGCCATGAGCTGGTGCCGGCTGGAGAACACTCCCTGGCCATCTGCAGAAGCAATTAGCTTGCCGATGGGTGTGTTTTGAGAGAGGGACTACCAATAATTTCTCCTTCAACAAATGTTTCTTCAGGTGTTCAAGAGTCAAGGAAGGACTTGGCAGACGTTCCCACAGGCTCAACCTTCTCACATTGACCCCCCCCCCCCCTTTAGCAGGGATCTCCACCTGGGAGCTAATCCTGGAATTCCTGGGTTTCCATGACAAATCACCTTTGATCCGTTTCCTAGGACTCTAAACGTACTGCCACAAGCCAGGGAAAGTGTGGCTGAAGCCCCGGCCTGATGAAAATCGGCGTAGATTGATGGGGACCGGCCTTTGATTTTGTGGGGAGTTTCCCAGGAACCTTCTGTGGGGATTTGGGCTGTCCTCTGAGCTCCACTTCCAGGTTTCATGCTTAATTGTCTTCTTCAGAGGCCAGACAATGAGAGCTGGCATCTTCCAGATCAAAGGGGAAACAGAATATATTGTAAAGTCACAGCTCTCTTATCCTGTGACCAGAATAAAAGCAGAATAGACTGATGTAAATATAAGTCCCCAAACAAGTCCATGCTGAAATGCTTCCAGAGAGCAAAGTCTCTCTAATTTCAACACAGCAGTTCTTCTCACACAACGCATCTTATCCCCCCCCCCCACACACACACACACAATTCTCATGCCTGCGGCAGCCCATCCCAGCAAAGGAGAATTTTCTGTCCCTGCAGGTTGGGAGCTGGGCTTCTCCGCTGGGATTCTGTCTGCAGAGGGGGCTGTTAACAATGGCTCTTTGCCAGGGGCAATGAAAAAGCAGGCTGAGGCGGTGCCTTGCCGGGGAACGCAGCCCTTAGTGGAGGATGCCCCATAGTCAGGGCCACTGCAGTGAAGGGACACAGATTGCTTGGGGGCTTCTATCCATTCTCCTCTCCAATTTCCCAGTTCCTTTGCTCTTCCCGCCTGCTTGCCTCACATCCTAATGTCGATCTGTCTGTATTTCTACACCTGCTCTAAGCACACACACACACGCGCGCGCGCACGCACACACACACACACACACACACGCACACACACACACAGTGGCACCCCTCTTCCCTGTCTCTTGGTGCTTGCCCTTTCATCTTCTCCCTCAGGGATTCGAGATGTCGCTGCAGGAAGTGCTTGTCCACCGAGGCAGCAGCCAGCAGAGCCCCGTGGCTTTGACAAACCTCATTTAATTGGGAGGAAGCCAGGAGAATTTGAAAGAACTGAAACATCCACGAAGCTCCTTTTATCAGGCATAATTTAAACTCTGCATGGAAAAACCCCTATGTGTATAAAGAAAAGTCAACTTCCCTCCTGCTGGGAGCACTCCTCATCTCCCCCAGCACAGGCAGGCTCCCGAAAGATTCTATCTTTTCATTTTTCTCAAAGTGTCAGAGTAGATCTGGGCTCTGCGGCGGGGTGAACAGAGAAGGAATACAGATTGTTCTTTCTCAAAGCCCGTGTGGATGTGTGCATGCGCGCGCGCGTGTGTGTGTGTGTGTGTGTGCGTGCGCACACACAGACACACACACACATACACATCTTTAGATAGTGTGTGCTCCAGAGTCTGTTGGTTGATAACTTTGCTTCAGATTTCTGGGGAGAATCAAAACCCAAGTTCCTAAGGACACACCAGTTTGGAGAGTGATGGCTGCTTCTTCATTAAAAAGCTGGTGCCTATAAAGGCTTGAAGACGCCAGCCGTTCTCCAGTACCCAGAATAACAGACTCCACAGGAAGCTAACAGGGAACATTTCTTTAAGGAGAGAGATGGGAGTGGGTATGTGCGCAGCCGAACACGCACACGTATGAGTTAGGCGTTGAGAAGGAAGGACTGTAGGCCCAGATTGGAAACAGGGGGGTAGAACAGGTCAGGCGGCGTGGACACATGGGGCATAGGTGCCAGGAAAGTGGTGGGTGCTGTGGGCCTCCTAAAATGCCCTTCGTCTGACCCTTCTCTCAGCCTCCTTGCAAAATCCTCCGCAGATTCACCGCCAGTCCTATCCACCTCTCATGAATTATCCTCGTTTCTCCAGAGTCGCCTCCAGCACAGACAGCTCCTACACATCTGTGGCGTAGTACAGCAGATCTGAGCTGTTCTGATATGATTTGTGCTAATACGTGTACAGGGTACCCCATTTCCTCTTCACCACCTTCTCTTCCTCCCACTCCGTAAGATCCTCGGGCCAAGGACAAGCCTCTTGTTTTCCTCAACTTTTTTTTTTATAGCAATTCATGTGTTCTTGACACTTAACGGCAGCTTAATAAATTCTAATGGCTGCCTCTTCTTACAGGGTTAAGTAAGATATTAACCTCTCCTGCATGGTGATGGTTATTTTTAGAGATCTTAAGTGACTTTAATAATAAAATTCCTCAATAATCTCCAACTAAGAAATTTGTGCTGTTTCACAACAATGTCTAAGATCCGGGGAAGCTGCATTTACAAAGCCTGGCAGTTGGGCCAGGCTGTACCTATCTATGCCTCTGGGCCATTAGCTCTGCACCCCAGTGCACCCCATCCCCACCCTCACCCCACTTCCACCCCAGCCCCCTCTTCCCAGCCTGACCCTCAGGCCTTCCGCTCAGCTTTCTTTTCTTTGGCTTAGGACTTCAAACGACGGTTTTCCATTGAATGTGGATATTTTCAAAGAAACCTCACCTAAGGATACTCTTCCCCAGCCCGCCCTAAACAGCCCAGGCCTTGACCACACACCACCCACATCCTCCTCCTGGCCCTTCCTGGCCGCATTCTGAGAAACCCAAGTAGAGCTCCTGCCATGTGACCCCCCCTCGGCAGATTTCAGATTTGGAAGATGACTTCAGGCGCAGGCGGCCAAGGCTGGTTTCAGGGTAACCGGTGTTTGCAGTGGGCGCCTAGCCTGGGAGGGCATTTCCCTTCCCCCAGCGCCCAACCTCCCAGCTTCCTTCTGAGGCATCGCGTTACCAATCAAGAAGGGCCCATCTCTCCTTCCTGACATATCCATGTCACCTCTCGTTTTACTCTCTGGAAGGGAGAAGCAGCTTGTTAGAAACTTTGGTTTGGCTTCTCCTGGCAGATGCTCGCTGAAGCAAACACCTCAGAGGCAACTTTCATCTCTGCCAGCTTCCAAGCAGAAGCTTGCGTGTGGGAACGACTTGCATCACTGCAAGGAGGTCCCTGTCACCTTTCGCCACCCGTGCTTCTGGGTTTTAGAGAATCTTACTTGCTTCTTGCTCTCTGGAAAGCAAATTAACCTCTGACTTCACTTCTGCTTTGCAAACTCTATGATTCTCCAGCGTTGGGGAAAAACATGTAAGATGAGGTTTGATGCCGATGCGCGTGCACACGCGTGCGCATGCGCGCGTGCACGCACTTACCATCAGGAAGCTGGTACAGCTGGGATGGCAGGACACGGAAATAATCATGCGTGAGGGCTTCCTGTGCCGAGACACGGTCCCTAGGGAAGCCTTTTAGCATCTGGGAAGCCAGGTCTTCAGCTTCAGGAACTCCACTCAGCCTAGAAAAGTAAGAAGGAAGAATCGGAGTTTCTTCAAAGGCTGCACACAGGCATAGATACAACAGTGAAGGGAAAGGCCTCCTCTAGTCTGCGGGTTTGAATTCTGGGCGTCAGAAGATCTGGCCTTCCGGGAGATGATTCGGTTACGGAGGAGAAGCCTGCACCACTGGCTCGGTACCCTCACTGAGTGGCCTTTGGGGAGCCCTTTGTTTTTTCTACTATGTGAAGAGGCATGCCAAGGAGGCATGAAGAACAGAGCCCTCATCAGACGTTAAATCTGCTGGTGCCCTCGTCTCAGACTTCCCGGCCTCTGAAATGTTCTTGTTGGCTGTAAATTATCCAGAGTATTTTGTTATCCCAGGCTGAATTATCTGTCTAAACTACTGTTTATTCTAACAGCCTTCATCCCTGACCTGGGACAGGAGGATGTGGTTGGGATTGAAGCCCGACCTTCTGCATTGAGTTGCACGGCCACAAATGAATCGGTCAAGCAAAACATAGAGGGGTTTGCTTGGTGTCAAAACCACACATCAGCATGGAGGAAGGAGGAGCGTGTGCCCTCTTGGACAGGCATGATACAGGGATGTTGGAGTGCCTGTCCCGTGGTTGTGGTTTGCCTAATTTTTGCAAGAGATTTGCATAAGAAACGTCCAGGTGTCTGATTTCTACAGCATAAATCTGTTTCTGCAAATGGGTTATTGGTCTTTAAGTCCATAGACGAGATAAAGAAATTTGGAAATCCCAGGGCAGTGGGCATGAAGGAGGACCGGTAGGTCCACATGCTCTTCCCAGGCTTGACAGTAGCTACTGACCCATCACTCAACACACACAATGCATGGTTCTTCTCGGAGGAGTGAGACAAGGTTTAGTTGCCTAGCACACCCCGCCTCTGTGTCTAAGGCTCTCCTGCGCCCCTTGTTGCTACTGACCCTCACAGTAGGGGATGAGACTGCCTACCATAAGCTCATCTGGGTACCGCACTTCCCCTACATCCATAGAGAGGGGAAAGTGTAAGGCTAGAGGGGCCACTTCTCTATCGCTCTCACTTGAGGATGCGGTAGACACCCACAGTAAGAAACATCCGTCAGCAGGAAGAAACAATCATCCAGAAAGCTGTCCTAGCCTTGTCAGTCAATCACAGCAAAGCGATTGTGATTTAACCCCACAGCAAGGTCCGTTTCTAGCCCCCTGCCACAATTCCAGCCCACCTCTGTAGGAACTGTACAGAAAGGCTGGAGATACCTCAGCTCTTCTAGATTCGCCAGACTTGCGCCTGAGTCTGTTGAAACCCTGTACAGCAGATAGATCCTGGTTCCTCCACTTGCCTTCTGGCTGGCGCTGGGCCAGGTAACCTAGTTTCTCTAAGCCTCAGTTCCTTCCTATTTGTCACCAGAATGTCACATTAACATTAAGAAGGAATGTACTATGTAGCCCCCAGAAGCATACGGTGGGCACCTACCCGACATAACGTCCGTTCTCCACAGAGCTAGGGATTCTCTCATGTGCTAACACAGGCCAGCACTGTCCAGTAGAATTTTCCACAACAATGGAAATCGTTTATTTTTACTCAGTCCGATACGGTAGGCACTGTCCCTACGTGGTTACTGAGCCCTAGGAATATGGGTAGTGTCATTGAACAACTGAACTTTACGTTCAGTTTGGAGCAGTTTCCGTCTGAGAGCCGTGTATGGCTCATGGCGACTGGATTAGCAATGCTCCAGGTATTACTTCTTGCTCCAGGAACCAAGCAGAGAAAAGGCAAGTCTGAGCAAAGGCCAGAAGCGCAGGAATGGGCAGAGACAGTAGGTGACTTGTGGCCAAGAGGGTCAAGTGACACAGAGAATTCTTGTCCTGCTCAGGGCTGAAAGAAAGAGATGGGGAAGGGTATGTGGCAGCGGCAACAACAGCAGCGTAGAGTATTCAGCCGCTTTGTGGTCTGGAGTATTTTTAAAAAGTCAATTGTGGAAGGGAGGGGAGCTTTGGAGCAGCATGGAGATCCAGTATCTCTAGGCTAGGGCTAGGGTGCCCAACACGTCCACAAGAGGATGGCTGCACTTTCTTTTGTTAGTGTCTTGGCAAGATTAAGTTGATTTCAATCTCAAAGTTGAGACAATGAAAAATGGCCCTGTCTTGCTTAGAAAATGGAGCTGACCCAACTCCTACTTAGGGTCTCAAAAACACGTCGTCGTTAATATTCTAGGGACTCCAAGGAGCCCTCAAGGTTAGGCCGAAATTCCTGCCAGCTTTGACATAGTTTCTGAATGAATACCTTAAAGCCAGTGATACCTAAATCTAAAAAAAAAAAAAAAAAAAATGAAAAAAATAGCGTGTTTTTATCTGCCAATGCCACTCCGTTAAATGGCTTTCAGTAGAGACACCTTGCCTGGGCGGTGGCGGCGCACACCTTTAATCCCAGCACTCGGGAGGCAGAGGCAGGCAGATCTCTGAGTTTGAGCTCAGCCTGGTCTACAGAGTGAGTTCCGGGATAGCCAGGGCTACACAGAGAAGCCTTGATTCAAACAACAACAACAAAACAACAAACCAAAAATTAAAATGTCACGATAACGCAATCAATCGACAGTCTGTTGTGTTTGCTCAGCGGTAATTGTGACTGGAGTTTGCACACCCCAAGGGCGGTTATAAACAACAGCTCCTGGGATCATGCCTCAGAAAATAATGGGGTTTAAGGCATTCCGTGCTTTGGACGCAGAACAAGTGGGCACCTCGGAGGCCTTGCGTTTCCCAATAAGAGATCCCCTGGTAGTCTGTGGCTCTATGTTTATTTTTTGTACCCCGTTTTTCACTTTCAACTTTTAAATGTAAACAAAAAAATTGTACGTATGGGATAATCAAGCCACATTTGGTTAGATTAAACCACTCTGCATATTCAAAGACCAGCATTCCAGGGTTCAGTTGGGATCTTGGCTGGGAAACTCTTTGCTCTCCCCACCTGCGAGAGTGTTTTTCTTTGACATCGGAGCTCCTTCCCCTGGCCTCTGATGTTTCCCTTGCTGCCTTTTTTGCCTCCTCACTGGAGCAAAAAAAGAACAGAGCCTCTGCTAATTACTCTCAGATCAAATAATGCTGGTTATTGTGATTGGTCATTGTCCGAAAACACTGAGTTCTTCTTCGCCCAGAAGCTGCCTGGCTAGTTAGCTAGCTATTCCCGGAATGTCTCTATTATCTGTTTTACTTTGCAAAAGAAACCAGGGATTTGTTGAAAGCTGGTCTGCCCTGGTCTGAGCTGAGACCACATTGAGAGGGCCTGGGAAAGCCTGACCTCCAAGAATCAAGCTCCCCCTCCAATGGCTACTCAGTGATGTTATTTGGTTTCTGTCTGTCAGAGAATAATAAACCCACTAGGTTTTCTTGGAGGCCAACACTCCTGCTCTCGGGGCCTGGGGCATGGCTGAGGGGCACAAAACAATTTTAATGACCAAACTCACTGAAAGTAAAATGGTTCGTAAAGAAAAACCAACACCCTCACAGGGGGGCTGGCTTTCCCCAGAAGCATCTTTCTGCTGGGGGCTGGCGCTCAGTGCGCTGAGGTACAGGGAAGCCTCTCTCTTCTCTGCTTCTAAAGGAAAGAGAGCGGGTGCTTACCTGCTCCATACAATCTGCAGTCTCTGAGGCTTAGGCAGAGGGAACCATTCTGGGGAGCACACAGAGAAGCATTAAAACCAAGAACAACCCGCCAATCAGTTGCCAAAAGTGTTATTAAAATTCCAAATACTCTTCTTGGCTTGGAGTAAAAGAGGGTCCTAGAGCCAGGCAAACTAACAACTGACCTTTAAGGTCTCCTCTCGGAAAGTTTATGAGTCGCTGAAAACTACTCTTAAGCATGAATTTTGTGTCCTCCAGATACCCGTGTTAAAGTCCTAGGACATCGTGTGGAAAGAGAGCCCGTGTAACATTCTCACTAGGGTGGGTCCTAATAGAATTATGGTATCCTCATGAAAAGGGAAAGTTTGGACGAAGAGAGATCTATTACAGAAGCTGACACGTTGCAATATGAGACCGGCTATCTCCAAGCCAAGGGTAGACTCCTGGAGAGGTTCTGCTTCGTCCTTAGAAAGACCTTGTGGACTCCCAGACTGGAGCAGGCAACGAGGCATTTCTGTTATTCGAGGGTCTCAGCCTGTGGTCGTTTAGTATGGCAGCTTTCACAAACCAATGTAGCTAAAACTGTCAGTTGAATTAACAGACATATGACATATTGTGTGTAGAGTGTGTGCCAAGTGCTAGAGAATACAAGAAATCGAATGAAACTCCCTTACCCTCCCAGAGCTTACAGTTCACCTCGGAAAATAAAAGGACATGCACACGTACACACACACACACGTGCACACGAGTGTGCACACATACATATGCACGCACACACGCACACATGTGCATGCAACACACATATGCACAAACACATATACACGGACACACATGTACACGCACGCACACATATGCACAAACGCATGCACATGGGGACACATAAGTGCGCATGTACACACGCACGCACACAGAGGAAAGCAGTCCAGTCAGCTGGGCATGATGGCTTCACAGCTAGAACACTAGAGAGGATGAAGCAGGAGGATTGCCATGAATTTGAAGGTGGCCTGTGCTACAGAGTGAGTCCGTGTCTCAAACAAACAAATGAAATTGGCTACCACCACCATCACAACAACAACAACAAAACATGTTGGTGGGGCAAAGTCTCGAAACTCAAATAAGGGGACTAGAAAGAAGACTCGGTCGTTAGGTGTGAAAACTGATCTTTCCAAGGACCCGCGTTGGACTCCCAAGGCCCCCAGCAGGTGGCTGTCAACCTCCTGTATAACTTGGGGGATCTGATACCTCTGGCCTCTGCAGGCACCTGCAGTCATGTGCACACCCACACATAGATACACACAGACACATAATTAAAAAATAAAAATAACCCTTAAAAAAAAAAACAAACCTGAGAATTTTTTTATAAGTAAGGGAGGGGATGTATAATTTGATACGCTATTCGTGAGACAATAGAAGCGAATCTCGGCTCAGATAATTCAAAGCCAAGCCGAAGATGCTTCTGTGGGTAAAGGCAAGCCTGACAGCCCATGTTTTATCCAAGGATCATGTCACAACTGGGTGTGGTGGTGCACATCTGTAATCCCAGCAGTCCTGCGGTGAGATGGAGAGACGGGAGAATGGTTTAGAAGCTATCACGGCAGCTAACCTGGGGTATACAGGGCATCAGAGACAGTCCCCGGCCTAGGAAGGAGGAAAGCCAAACCCACTACCCCAAAGTTGCCCTTTGACCTCCGCACATGCGCAAACACACACATACGCACACACACGTCTTTGTGAGTCACCCAGTACCGGTGCTGGGCACTAAAGTCCCGAGACACCTAAACGTGAACGTACACATACCTGCATATACACAAAATAATAAAAGCAAATCTTCAGGGATGGCAGGATGGCTCAGTGGTGAAGCGAGATCCAGACAGCTCATGTGCCTGAGACTCCAGGCCAGGGGGTCTAGCGCCCTCTTCTGGCCATTGCAGACACCTGCACCCATGAGCACATTATTCTCCCCAACACACAATAAAAAAGATACAAATCACATTATTCCCCCAACAAACACACAATTAAAAAGATACTAAGTCACACCATTCCCCGAAAAAACACACAATTAAAAAAATACAAAATCATATTATTCCCCCAACACAATTTAAAAAATACAATCAACCTTTAAAAAAAATCTTTTTAAAGCTTTAAAATTCTAAGATGCCCAGTAAAAATAGAATGGTATTTGGAGCATGCTATATTACTTATATTTGGATACACAAATTTCTTTTGCTTTTTGTTCTGACATTAGCATCAACTCCAACTAAAAACAAAACGAAAAGGGAGTTTTTAACTTTAGAAATAATTCAAGTTGGCTGAGTTAGCACCTAGCTCTCCTCGCTCCTGGGAGGCAGACACAGGAGGGTCACCCCAGGTTCAGGGGCTAAAACAGGGAGGCTCTGTTTCAACAAACAAACAAATAAGAACTAGTAATTGACTTCTCAGTGTGGGCACCTGCCTAGGTCCCTGCACTTGGCAGGCAGGAGCAGGAAGGTGGGGAGTTCTAGGCTGGTTTAAATGGGGCCCAGACAAACAAGCAAACTGAGAAACAGTGATTGAAAGCCCTCATGGACGTATGGACCACAAGAGAAACTGGATGATGTCAACTGATGCTTCGCATCACCTCCACCACCAGGTCCAGGAATTGAACTCAGGTTGTTAGTCTTGTACAGCAAGCGGTTTTATCTGCTGAGCCATCCCACTGCCCTAGAGGGTTTTTTTTTATTTTTATTTTATTTTATGTATAGGAGTGTTTTGCCTGCATGTACATATGTGTACTGTGTGTGCATGACTGGTGCTCACAGAGACCAGAAAAGGGCATCAGATCCCCTGCAAAGGGAGTTACAAACAGTTGTGAGCTGCCGCCGTGTGGATGCTGGGAATCTAACCCAGGTCCTTGGAAGAGCAGTGTTCTTAACCTCAGAGCCATCTCTCCCGGTCCAGGTCTATTTATTTACTGTGTGGCTTAGTAACATGACCACAAAATCCCAGTTCAAATCTCTCTGCCACTCAGGGGCTGTGGGACTTGAGGGTGGGGAGTGGGGATTGCTCAATGTGTCTAGTGAAGCAACAGAAAGTTTCCAGAACTGTAAACGGGAATCATTTTTAGTTTCCGGAAAGATTAGATAAGGCCTCTGGCATGTAATTCAGACTTGAAAAGCTGTGGTCTCCTTGCCTTCTTTCCCTTCTTCCTTCGGCTCTTGAACCTTTTGTTCCTTTGGGAGAAGAGTCAGGGTCCAGTAGGGTAGGGTGGCCTCACCTGCAGACCTTATAAAAGAAGGCAGCATGGTTCCACCCCCTAGAGAGTCTACTTTAGCAGGCCTGGGACGGGTCACACACTGGTTGGTTGTTGTGCTGCTATTATGTCTTTAATAGGCTCCAGATGTCTCCAGTGAGGCTGATTGGAGGACTGCTGATCTAGCCAAGAAAGCGGGGGTCTAGCACTTGCCAGTAACTGGACATGCTTCCCTGAGCTTCACTTCCTCGGCTGCTGGGCTGCTGCGGCAACTCCGAGAGAGGCCGCGGTGAGGATTCCGCTAGTCAGGGTACAGCAAGGTTGCAGAAGGCAACCTCACAATCCTGCTTAGAATGTTTCTTTCAAAACAAGAAAGAGAGGTTGTGACCAGGGCAAAAGGGGCTCCCAGGAATTCTAAAACAGATGCCCTTGGACCCCAGGAGGGAGCCATTTTGAACTTGAACTCTCTGGTTCTGCACAGATGACATCCTGACTCCTCCCACATCTATTCCGGGGCTACATCAGCAAAGCAGCTGGGGTCAGCTGGGGAGCTGCTGGGCAGCAAAGCCAAGTCCACAGCCTGTTGGTGACCTACCCTCCCACTTGGATGCAGATAGACCGCTCGCTCACGTGCTCAATGACCTCGTCTCTCTGCCATTGATTTTTCCCATTAAGTCCCGAGTGATCAATGAGAGAAAGGTTCACAGACACACACAGGCATTGTACACAGCACCATTTCAAGAGGGTCTGTTTCTCTGGCTTCGGTGACTTCTAAAAATAATAGGTCTAGAGGCGGCAGGCTTCCTTTCTCCTTCCAAAGATGAAGGAAATCATTAGGACAGCTCTTCCGCCACCTCCTTTCTCGGCAGCTTTCTTCAAGAGAGGGAGCTCTTGTTTGAGTTCAGTTGGAATCCAAGGCTCAGGAAAGCAACGCATGGTTTCCAAAAAGTGTGCTGGGAAAGTCGAAGGCTTAAGCTTCCAAATGAAGTTGGATTTCAACGAGGGCGGAGCGGCTGTTTGCTTTCTCATCAATGGTTAATAGAAACTCATTTCACAAACTTTAGTCGCTAGAGATTTGTTGGTTGATCAATTGATAAAACATCGCTTGGATGTTTTGAGCCTCTGCTCAGTGTAAAACCTTTTCTGGTTCCTAGAGTCTTGCAGCGGTCGCCCTAAGGTTATCTTAGACGGCAGTCTACTGAACTACACCCCTGGAATTTCCTGAACACAATGCATTCTTGAGATATCACGTATTTATATAGTTGATAATGCTGCTAACCTGAAGTCGCTATCTCAAGTAGCAATGTTCAGAGAATGCTGTAAAAATCTGTACTCTCTCCTTCACCTGTCCTGCTCACCCTTCCTGGATACCCCCTCCCCCACGTCCTTGGGTTGCTGGCTGTGGGTTTCACTCTTCCTCCTGGAGCTGGCGTGGAAACTTGCTTAGTGTTTGACCCCAGGACTTTTTATCAGGTTTCCGGGATCTCTGGGAGGAGATACCTTCAAAGGCTCTAAAAGTCAGAGCACACGTGAATGAGGCTCCCAGGCATTTGAGGCTCACACTCCAGTTCGTACATCTGGCTTCTCATTCACGTAACCCTGTAACAAAACCTCCTGGGACTGTAAAGTGACCCCACCCTCTGAGGCCTGGTCCTAAGGTGAAGAAGGGGAAGCAAGACCTGACACCTGGGCTTGGAAACCCATGAAGAAATCCCGGTAGTCAGGACTCTCCCCATTCTTGGGGGGGTCAGGACCCTGGCTATTGTCTATCCACTCCCACAAACAACAGTTTGAGCTTGATCACACTTCACGGTGTGTAC